GTGCGGTCGTGCAGAGGAGGAGGGCGCTGCTAAGGGCAGCGCCATAGCCCAGCCACCATAGCTGGTGGGCTTGGACTACAGTGAAGCGCAGGGGTGGTCTTCGGGTGACAGAGAGGACAGGTGTGGGTGAAGTCAGGGGATCGGTGAAGGATGATGATGATGTGAGGGCACGTACCTTGTGTTGGCGATGGTCTGCATGGGCGGCATCTGTAAGTACTTCGGGCTGCTGCTGATGTCAACAGTTGCATTGTCTTTTTGTAGTCTGTAGTAGCTGTGTAGGAGTAGGCTGGGCGCTGAGCGCCAAGTGTGAGTGTAAGGGTACTGGACTCTTGTGTTGAACGGAGAGAGAGTGCTCTCCACGGACATTGGTTTTCAGTGCTACAAAACTCCATTGGTGTATTATTGGTGCAATGCTGCTATCTGGACACAGTGTGACTATTTGACTTGCAATGTGATGGTGTGATCTGGGGTTGTCATCTCGCTGTTGCTTATTTTCCTTGCAATTTGGTATCGGAGCTGGTTCATATTGCGCTTCATTGGTTCTTCGCGATAGCTATTGGTGCTTCGGATGAGGTGTGGGGCAGTGATACGGCATTGGCGTTGAACATTAGGCGGCCCAGGGTTGTGTGGGCGCGCCAGGGAGCTATGTGGTGACATACGGGATGTRTGMTGGATGATGAGAACTAGCTGATGTGACATATTAAGCTGAGGTGGAACCGCATTCTGCTGTTGGTTGTGCCGAAGCAAAGACCGGTCATCATAATTGCACATCAGGTTACCGGTGAGAAATCTGTGGTTGGGGGCAGCATTTATGAGGTACGTTGCYCTCTTCCTTATCTACCCTCTTCATCTCTTCTTACCGTGAGGAAGTGAGTTMTGTCTTGAGAGTCCTCTCGATGTGAGGTGTCGCGAGCGCTCAACCTTGAGAGTCGACATTCTTCCTGGGCAGCAAGCTGGTGGGAGACGGGCGAAGCCTCTGAAGGGCCCTGGACGAAGCACTCGGGTCACGGTCACCATGCCAACCCGCTGGGACTAGTACACGCATGCTTGGGCCGCAAATCCTTGTTCTGCTGCTTGCGCAAACAGGGGTCAACTCGGGCATGGCAGCCTCTATGAGACGCTCTCCAGACCGTCTATAAACATTTCTGGTTGGGGACTCGGATTGAATCTGGCTGTGATCGTCGTCCTGACTCCGACGTTAAATAATTCCTGAAGAGATGGGGGCGCTCTTAATAATCCTCCTGATCAGCCAGATCAACTGGGTGTAAGGCTCGTCAGCGTACGAGGATAAATAAGAGTGTTGTTGCTGCCTTGCTCGACGATGACTTGAGGCACAGGGGTGGGACCGGATTGCACACCTTTAGACACGCTGCTCGACCAGATGCTCAGGGACGTTGACACAAAGTGACTACTCAAGAAGGATAAAGGGGGAGGGGGGGATTCCGGTAACTGTTCGCAGTGGCAATCAACAAACAATCTGCCATCAAGCATACATCTCCAACAGGAGATGTTCTTTTCTGTTTTGATTATTTAGTTGTTACGAACTTGCTGACAACTAACAGACAGCTACAGATAGACTAGATCTTTGCTGTATTGCAATCTGTTCCAGGGTAATCTAAAAAATAGAGGTAATATATCCTGTAGGACCTGACATTAGTTGTAACTATATCACCCAACTGTTTTGTCCCATCCGACCGAAAGTRGTTGTGTTTCATAATCGGTTGTGTGTCAAGCTAAGGTAGGATTCAGTGTGGGTTCTAGTTTAGATCACACACACTGTAGCTCATGAGTGATGCAAGCACAAGTGAGGAGGAGCTACTAGTGGACGACCGTAGGACTACTCGCGGGACTGCCCGCAGTCGACCCTTGACATTCCTGGAATTAGGTCCAGGAGACGAGAGAAGATTGAGGAGAGAGGCTAGAGAGAGGGCAGCGGCAAGGAGAGCGAGGGCAGCTGAGGACAATGCTAGAGCTAGAATTACAGCTAGCATCAGTACAGCCATGGCGACCTCATCTATGACGCAATCCTCTACACAGCCCACTTCGTCARGAGTCRGTCAGAGTGGTAMTCAGGCAGCCACTAGTCAGATTGGTCATGTGCGAGTCAGCCAATCTCCTATCACGCCGGAGGACTTGGAAATCCGGCAAGCAGAAGAACTTCAGGATGAGCTACAGCGGCAGATGGACGAAGTAGTAGAGGGGAGAAGGAAAGCTATGCAAAGGAAAGCTATGCAAAGAAAAGCTAGACTAGAGAGTAGAGCTCAGGAGCTAGGCAGACTGGAAAGATTGGATGAGTCAATATTGGATCCTGCTGTTCGTGTGTTGCGAGGAGCCTTACTTTCAGTAGCRGAAGCGSAAAGCGTCCAGCAGGAATTGTTGGCTGATTTGGTAGCAGGCCAGAAACAAATTCTGGCTGAACTTCGGGGCCCTCGCACAATGGTGAGGCAGCCGCCGTTTGCTGTAGTTCCCCTTGTAGGTGCGGGTCCATCATCGATGCCGCAACGCACAGGGCAAATTTTCTCTCCCATGTTTGGCATGCCCTCCCTGGGTGGTTTAGGTGCAACTAGTGGTCCGGTTCATTCAGTCTCAGTCGTACCATCTACAACAGTGGTCACTACAGTCCCACTGTCCAGCCAGGCCCAGGTTAGTATGCAACAGCCTGTTTTAGTGGCTATGCAGCCGCTGCATCAAGCACCTGGGCCCATGCAGCCGATGCAGTGGATGCCCAAGATACCTCTAACGAGTCCCAAGCCTTTCTCTGGAGACAAGAAGAGGGAGGAAGACTTGGACACCTGGGTGAG